CTGAAATCAATCTCTAAATAAAACTACCAAACGCATTTTTAGAAATAATTCAAAAATGAAACTAAAAACGTTTTCATTTTCATTTTCGTAAAGAAAATAAAAACGTTTTGGAATCAATTCCAAACGCACCCAAAGTTTCTTTTTTCTCCCTCTATTCATTGTTGTTTTGGGTGTGTTCATTTGCACAATCTCAAGTCATGACTTGAATTGTGTACATGAAAGAAAAATATTATAATAAAAAAATTAAATTTAAAATTATATAAGAGAAAATACTGTGACAATAAAGCTTAAGGTATGAAATGAATAAGTTCTTTTTTTTTTTTTTGCTTGCACATCCGTGCACAATTTTTCAAAACGCAAGTTGCACGAGTTTTATGTAAAACGAAATAAAACAAACGAACAACATTTCGTTGGAAATATCACTAAAAAATAGGGAATTTTTTTTTTTTAAAAATAACTATTAAAAAGATTATTTTAAACTGTCAGATTTATATAAAATATTATTTATTTTGTATATTTTTTAATCAATCTAATTTGATTTTGATCTTATAAACAAAATGTTGAACTCAAGTGCAAAACGACATGTATTTTTAATGTCGTTTGTATATTAATTTTGCTTTTGTTTTCTCATATATAATATATATATCGAAAATAGTAGAAAATAGGTAAATATGAAAAGTTTAAAAAAGTATATAGGTTGATTTTTAGTTATAGAAATTAATAGGCCATAATTTGTCAAGTTATGGTTCATAACCAGATAAGTTATGGTCAAACTTGTCAAGTTATGGTTCATAACCAGACAAGTTACGGACAAAAACTGTAATTTAACATATTTATTAACTTATGTAAACTATTGACCTATTAATTATAATTTATCTTAAGTCTTAACATATTTTCTTCTTTCTCTCTCTCTATATATATATATATATATATATATATAACCGGATCTATATATAGACCGTGCCATATATATGATCATATACAAAGTTTCTTTTTTCTCCCTCTATTCATTGTTGTTTTGGGTGTGTTTATTTACACAATCTCAAGTCATGACTTAAATTGTGTATATAAGAGAAAAATATTATAGCAAAAAAATTAAATTTAAATTTATATAAAAAAAATACTATAATAATAAAACTTAAATCATAAAATGAACAAGTACTTTGTCTTTTTTTTGCTTGCACATCCGTGCACAGTTTTTCAAGAACGCAAGTTGCACGAGTTTTATGTAAAACAAAATAAAACAAATGAACAACATTTCGTTGGAAATATCACTAAAAAATAGGGAATTTTTTTTGAAAAATAAACTATTGAAAAGATTATTTTAAACTATCAGATTTATATCAAATATTATTTATTTTGTATATTTTTTAATCAATCTAATTTGATTTTGAAATAGATATAATGATAAAAAAAAAAATGTGTCCTACTGACCCATCGTAGAAAGACCTGAGTATGGAATAACTATAATTAAATTGAACGGCCATGGGTTGATTAATTTTGGTGAAAGGTCCAATACTACTTTCCTCTAACGTACAGTAAAACGTCCTTTACAGCTTCAAGGCATGAAAAAAACAAAAAACAAAAAAAAACGTGCCAGAGTTTGCATATAAACGTAATTGGAAGAAGTTTTTGACTTTGGCACTAATTAGCAATCATGAAACATGCACCGTAATGACAAGAAAATCATGTGGAAAACATTACTATGAGTTCTCAAATTATCTCGTTCACTTCACTGATTTAAATTTAAAATTCGAGTTGAGATGTGATTTTATGTGAGAATTTTTTACTGTAGTAAAAAAGTTAGATGTGATTGTTTGTGAGAGTTTTTTACTGTAAAAAAACTTAAATTCTAAACTCGAATCAGCGAAGTGAACGGGAATTTAATTTGTTCTCCAAGAACAAACGTTATACACATATACGTACAGTATAAAACGTCCTTTACAGCTTCAAGCCTAACGTGATCTACAGTTTCTTACTCACGGTCATAGAAGTACTAAAATTTTTGTTTTTGAAAAATTAAAGAAAAAAAGAGCAAATTTGTCTTGAATCTCTCCCCACTTTTTCAATATTAATAGTATCTGGTGTGTTTAACATGAACTTAAAACTTTCTTGTAATTAAGAAAATAATTCTTATCAGAGGAAAAAATTTTCTTTTTGGAGAATAAGTACATGTAGATAAGCTTTTACTTATTTATTTGTTTATTTATTTGTATTATATAGTTGGATTGACAGATTTTGTCCATTGAGTAATTTTCTCAATTAATAGCCAACTTTGAGGGCAAAAAAAAAAAAAAAAAAAAAAATGGTCTAAAGGGGGGCTACATTGGTTAGGTCCATAGTCTTAATTAACAGCAAATAATACAATTTTCAACCAAATTCATCAGCTTAAACTGTCCTTTATTAAGTGGCGGCCTCCTCAATTTCCTTGCACTTGCACTACACAAAAAACTGCATCAACAATATATTGTTTTACATTGCTGTTCGTGATCTTTCAATAATAAGCACACACATACATGTAAACATTTGTTCTAACTTTAACTATTAAGACACGGTTGGAAAACCACTGCATCTCAAAAGCTCAAACTTGTGAGAGATGGGCCAACAATAGTTTTAACATTCCCCCTCACGTGTGGGACACACACGTGATGATTTAAGAAGGAAGAAGAGTGCACGGAGGATCGAACACACGACCTCTGGCTCTGATACCATATTAAGACACTGTTGGGAAACCACTGCATCTCAAAAGCTCGAACTAATGAGAGATGGGCCAACAATAGTTTTAACACTCCCCCTCACGTGTAGGATACACACGTGATGATTTAAGGGAGGAAGAAGAGTGCACGGAGGATCGAACACACGATCTCTGGCTCTGATACCATATTAAGACATTGTTGGGAAACCACTGCATCTCATAAGCTCGAACTTATGAGAGATGGGCCAACAATAGTTTTAACACTCCCCCTCACGTGTGGGCTGGACAATGGGCAATCGTGTGGGTAAATTAATTGGAAAGCCCAACACGTGAATATTTAAGCCCGAGATATATTAAAGACCCAACACGTGATGACAATTTAAATGGGGATAAAGAGTGCAATTACGGGGGTTTGAACTCAGGACCTCCCGCTCTGATACCATATTAAGACACTGTTGGGAAACCACTGCATCTCAAAAGCTCGAACTAATGAGAGATGGGCCAACAATAGTTTTAACATTAACTAGTACTACTTGTGTAACACTTTCGAAACACATGGAAACCGGCCAAGTCCCCCTAGCACGTTCCCGGGTCAATCAACCATGCGCCGCTTGTAAAATGCTTCGCCGGAGATGTGACAACAACTGCGCGCTTTCACCATATTTTCCAACTGAAGAGATCGAGAAATTCGCCTGCGTTCATAAGGTTTTTGGTGCTAGTAACGTTATCAAAATGATCCAGGTATGCATATAGCTAGTATCATAGAATTATATGTTATTAATCATATCTCTGAATATCAGATCACATCTTAATTTATCGTCTATTTAGTTACACACCCTATAACACAATTTCCCTAGTATTACATGTACTACTACGAATATTGTTTTATTTCTACATGTTTAGTTGGTTTTTGTGACGACCCTCCTATGAGGCCGCCACTGTAACTTAAACTTTAACTTGTACTTACTGGGGTTTCTTAAAATATGCGGAACATTTTTTTTTTTATATAATAAGGAATACTTTCATAATTTGTAACAATAATTTCAAATAAGTGAATCACTAAATTTCTTAAAGCTTTTCTTAATTTTAGTTAAGATAAAACCTTTTAGGAATATCCTTCAAATGGAATAGCATTTGAACTCTTGTTTTAAATACTCTTTAAAAGCTTTTCTAAAACTAGTCATTTCAATCGGCCATCTCATTTGACTTTAAAACGGATTTCGTGAGAAATCTTAAATTCAAGTACATCTTAAAGTCCTTCTAAAATTACTCATTTAAATCGTCATGTTTAAAATTCATTTATTTGTTGCATGTACTGTAACATTCTAAAACTTAAATACTCAAAACTAGGGTTGTTAGCTACAACCTTGGTTTTCTTAACATACATATGTACGTATACTTTTTAAACATACATACTTGAAACTTTTGAATCATATAGACATATACATGATTTTTCTTAAACTTACTGCGGAAAATA